AAATTTGAGTAATCCTCCTTATGTTTTATGGTAGCTGATCTTTAATTAATACTCCTTATGTTTTATGGTAGCTGAAATTTGAGTAATCCTCCTTATGTTTTATGGTAGCTGATCTTTAATTAATACTCCTTATGTTTTATGGTAGCTGAAATTTGAGTAATCCTCCTTATGTTTTATAGTAACTGAACTTTGAGTAACCCTCCTTATATTTTATAGTAGGTAATCTTTGAGTAATCCTCCTTATGTTTTATGGTAGCTGATCTTTGAGTAATCCTGCTTGTTTTATTGTGGCGGAACTTTGAACAATCCTGCTTACAGTGTTGCTTCTATGATTTTTCTTAAGTGGGCCATCCATTTACTGAAGTAGGTATCAACATGATCAAGTAACTTGCATTTGAAGAAACAGTAAATTGAATTATTGGAATTTGTTTAATTTGTGTACGTACTGAAAATGTGGTATTTAAGCTATAACCGATCAGTTGATGTACTGTCATGGAAACATCTACACATTCACTGACAAAACTTACATTGCGGTTGTGTTCTCCGTGCCTTTTTCCTTTATTTATTTCTATTTTTGCATCGTTTTGATGGAAAAATGTAGTAACGTTTTTTTTTTTAATTAACCGCTTCTTCAACATCTTCGTACCTTTTGTTTTTCCGCCATTTTCAATCATCGATAACCAATAATATTAACAGAATCTCCCGCAAAATCAAATGACGTCATAACGCGGCCAATCACATTCCTTTGCATATCCAAATAAGCTAATTACATTCATAATACACTTCGAAGGGCGGGCGCACACGAAAAATTAAAATACGTACTTTTTTTTTTATATATATACGCAGGCAAACGATTATTTTTCGCCAGTGGCAATCAAATTAGCGTAAATACGCAAAGTACGCGTCCTAGACGCAACACTTCAGCTGATGTTTTGTAGTAGATGAATTGTGAGTAATCCTGCTTTGATTTCTGGAACATGTTTAAAAACATAATTGTCAAAACTATTGTTCGAGAAGACTGACCGAATCTCTTGTAATTAGTGCCATTATTACATCAAGTTTTAAACACAGCTTTAACCCTACTTTTTATATCGGAATAATATTGATGTCAAAGCAACTGAATGTGTGCTCGTGTTTCACATCAGTACTTTGAACCAATTAGATGGTGAGAGAACAGCAGCTTTTAAAACAGATTACTTGGAACTATTTTTCTTGAATTTCGGCAGTAGATGGAGCTGCATGTTTTTTTCTCTGTGTGTGTTTCCAATTATCTATCATGATGTCTTTCATGTTTCGTTATTAACAATTCATAACTCTCCGTGTTCCTGTTGAATCTCCCAAGTGGTTTCTGCTATTGATTGATTAGATTCATTGCTCTTGTTATTTATCGCATGACGTTAGGAATGGTGCTTACCAGAAACCAGTTCCTCGCGCACCTGGTGTTCGTTAGCATGTAACTCCAGAATCCAGATGTTTCGCGGGGAAGCGAAAAAACTTCACATTTCACGATGGTAATTTTTATCAATTGTGAAATAAACAAAATAGAAAATTGTATAATTTTTCTTCCTTTTTCTGTCTCAAAAGACTAAATGATTTTATTTATTTTTTTTCCAGCGGACGGTTGGACAATACACGATATTCATGAGTCCCGTGAAGCGTATCCATCCGTATTCCCATTCAAGACTCAAAAGATGATTTGTATCGTAGCGTTGGTTATGTAAAGAGCATTATTACGAGATGAAACAACTGTGGAATAAGAATTAACTCAAGTATGATCCAATTTGTTTTTCAAATATAGCTTAAAATTTCATTAATGTTACAACAAGTGGTTTAGAAAACTGACAGCACTGACTGTCAGGAACATTTAAATTTTTCTCTTTCTCTCCTTTTTCTTTTTTTGCTTTTAAAGTTAGTTTACCATTCAAATATCCCTTGCATACAGACTCCAGTGTTTCTACTCATAACTTCCACATTTTATGTTATTTTTACTGTTTAAATCTACACAGTATTTAGTGTTTATTGCTATAACTTTACGTGTTACGAGTTTTACTGGTTGAATGTACACAGCATTTAATTTTCTTCTTACAACTTCGTATTATGGGTTAAATCTACACAGTATTTATTGATATAACGTCACGTGCTTCACCTGTGAATTATATATAGACAAGATCTATGGTTTATAAGCGCCGATTGTAGTAATTGTCTACTGTTAAAGTGAACAATGTCAAACATTTGTATCAGGAGAGATTTAACTCGGTCACTTTTATAAATCAAGCTATCTTCGGAATATTGTTAATGAATAATTGTGTTTTTTTCTTCTGTTGTAAATATTATCAAAATAATTAGATAAATTCTACGTGACCTTAACTTGTGTTCTAGTTGCTGTAGTGTTGATCATTAGCAGATAAATATGTTTTCATTTTTTTTGTGTTCGGTGGGACAGTAGTTGTAGGTTTGAATGAGATACATAAAGAAAACACTAACCAATACACATCGTTCAGGGGGGAGAGCTAGATCCAGACTAGGAAGTGACGCTCTAGCGGGTTGATGTGCTAGTGAAGTGGTGCTCTAGTATCTGTGTGGGCAGTTCATTGGCCAATGGCCATCTGTGGCCAACTCGTAGAATCATCGATAGTGTTTTCTTTAGCTGGTCAGAGAAAAAAAATGCTAAATATCTCATTGAAATTTCACGCTTTTGTAATTTTGAAAAAAGTATTTTTTTTGTACTTTTGCGTTGTGCTTATAATTGACCTTGACTGTCATTAGAATCCTAAAATAAATGTATTTAGCGAAAATTTTCTGTTTTATTAATAGTGTGGCCATTTCTGTGATCGACTGGCCATATTCATGGCCAGGAAAAAAATATGGTTGCCCACCCATGCTTTTGCGGGTTGTTGTGTTAGCGAAGTGATGATCTAACGGATTGTTGCGTTAGATTTAATAGTCACATGTAAATCCTTGTTCTTCTGAAAATGGATGTAGCCACTGGGCTTTCGTGTAGACTGAGTGAACCGACTTTTACTGGTGTATCTCTGGTCTAGAAACGACGTTTCGGTTTCACTGCTTAACAATCTTCAGAATGCACTTTAATTACACGTTAACATGAAGAATGAAAGTTACATTTTAACCACGCGAGAATTTGTTGTATCATATGTGTAACACAGGCGTTACACTGGGGCAAAAAAAAAAAAATTATGACTTTGTTACAAGCCTGGCATGGCCAGGTGGTTAGGGCGTTCGAATCCCCATCCCACCAAACATGTTCGCCCTTTCAGTCATGGGGGTGCTATAATGTGACGGCCAATCCCACTATTCGTTCATAAAAGACTAGCCGACTTTTCCCTCTACTTATTCACTTCTAAGTTAGGGACGGCTAGCGCAGATAGCCCTCGTGTAGCTTTGTACATCATTAAGTTATAATATTGTTTTTTACAGTGATAATTTGATGGCTTTCGTCTTCCGTTTGTGCTCTCGGGTTAGTCATCATTATATTGTTGTTTTTTTATATATTTTTAATCCTTTAATAGAAATGTTTCTCATCTTCGTGTACTTCATCTGACTGGTGTATAATTGTTTCCTCTGGCGTTTTACAGGACACTTGTTTTTGTAAGTTTAGTAATTATAACCTACATGTTAATAAGATTAAAAATGCAATGTTAGTGGATTAATTGAATTATTCATTCCTCACGTTTGCGTTAAAATAACATAACGTCGCACTTTGTTTAATGTTGACTTGCTTTAAAGAATTAGTTTAGATGGTAAACTTGCGATATTTTAATTACTTTACTTTCCATTTTGTTGTTGAACTTTCAACATAAACTTACTAAACTTGTATATAATTTCTGCAAGTTACAAAAAGGAATAAAATTTTGAATTTAAAAAAAAAATAAGTTTAAATCACCATATCTACTTTGAGCTCTTCAGTCGAAAATATTTTATTCAGTTTGAAAAAGTAAAATCTGAAACACGTCAAGGTTCGAACCCATGACTTCCCTTATCGGACGTGTGCCTTCACTGGTTAAACTAAATGACTTAAGTGTCAGCCCACGCCTCCTCTTTTTACTGATAAGAATCTTATCATAGCTCGTGGGTTGTGCCACTCAGCCTGGAAGGTCAAGGATACGTTTATGGCCTTGTTTTTTTTTTAAATTCGTACTTGTGTGTTATTTTCTGTAACTTAGTCACCTGTTCTAGCCGACGAGCTCTTTATAAGCCGTACTACGACACTTAACCATTGATTGGATGAAATATTTGTCCGTATTTTTATAAGGATCAATAGGATGATCCAAGTCATTGCTGTTAAAAGTGTCTTAGGGTAGTGTTGGGATAACATGTTAGTAAGAAGTATTAACCATTTGCTGGCTCAGCTGGTAGAGCACTCGGCTTGTAGTGCGAGCGGTCTTGATTTCAAATCCTGTAACATGAGTGGTAAAATGTATTTCACAGTAACCTACTGCTCTAGTTATATTCTCTTACGTGGAATATTTTGTTGTCGTTAAACACAAAGCTACACAATGGGATATCGGTGTTTTGCCTACTGCAAGTATCGAAACCCGATTTTAAGCGTTATAAACTCTCGGACTTACCGCTGAGCCACCTGGGAGCGTGGAAGAGGAATTGTTAAAGCGAAAACGTGCGGTTTAAATCAAAATAGTGTTTATTGAAGCTTTTAGGGATAACTTGCCAGGATGGTTGGTTAGTGGATATGTAGTTGGGTCAAATCGTAACAAACCACTGGCTTCTAAAGACATGTACGTCTTGAAAACAATCCAGGAAAAGGTCGTAACGTACAATTATGGTTATAACTAACACCGGTACTGACAGTACATAATTAATTATCCAACCCTCATGGACAACTGTGTGGATAATTAATTATGTACTGTCAGTACCGGTGTTAGTTATAACCATGATTGTACGTTACAACCTTTTTGCGCCAATCCGCATGACACGAACAGACAATCGATATGTAATGCACTTTTTTTTTTTAGTCCACCCCTCTAGCCTTATACCTTTTTCACATTGTATATTTGTAAGCCTAATTAAAATGGTTGCCACCTTTTTCTTATAAATAGTGTAGGAATTGTGAAGTTTTAAGTTTAAAGCGTCTAAGGGAAGGAGGGTCTTAGCCTCGTACCAAATCACAATTTTAGTACCCCCCTCCCCAGAGTTCATTAGTTCCTGTTTTTATCATGTTAATTGATTTTTTTTAATTATTCAATTGCTTTTGTGCATTTTTGATTTTAAATACTTATCAGCAATAAAATACAAGATCTCATCGTTGCTGGAAACACTAAAATGTATAAACCTGTTTATGTTTACCACTTCGTGTACATCCATATATTAATCTTTTACAGATAATTGTGCTCATTTTCTCCTTAGAAAGGAGTTCAATAGTTTTTTATTTACTGCTTTTTTCTCTTTAACTTCTTTGATAATTTATTTGTGATTTACTAAAAAGTCGGGATTTTTTAAAAATAAAAACTCGTACCTCTAGTGTTTGGATTTGTATTAAATATATATAAAATGAATTATTGCTTCATGATGTTTATATACATACATATGGAAAGTCCAATCTCTATGATAGTAGAGTTCGGAAGATCGATTAGCATAATATAATTTAGGTAAGTTTAAGAATTAGTCATGTGTAATGCATTGTCAAAGGTTTACATCAACACGTATTCCTGTTTGTTTCAGAGTGGCATCTTGAAAAATATTCTAGATAGCGACAACAACTATAGAAATAAAACTTAAAATACGTTACGTCTCACCATTGTTGGCACCTTGCCAAATCGGAGGACTTAAGAAAACAAGAAAATGAAATTATTGTTCTCACTGGTAACTGGAAGATTAGGAGGAAGAGGTCTCCACTAGCACCTGACCATCCCAGGTCGCATAAACACGACCTTATAACCTATCGAGAAGAACACAGATGGGAAAACTCGAGAAGTTAGGTGTAAAGCTGTTGTTCTCACTGGTAACTGGAAGATTAGGAGGAAGAGGTCTCCACTAGCACCTGACCATCCCAGGTCGCATAAAACACGACCTTATAACCTATCGAGAAGTACACAGATGAGAAAACTCGAGAAGTTAGGTGTAAAGCTGTTGTTCTCACTGTTAACTAGAAGACTCGAGGATATTACGTGTTAATAACCCCTGTTGGACTAAAAGACTCCATCTGATAAAGAAGCAAGATGTAAAGGTAAAAATAGTTTCCACTGTCAAAGTGACTGGCTCAAAGGAGTCCCACTTTCAAACTGACATTGCTAATGATAGATGCACATTGAACGATATTCTTTTTTTTTTATTATTATTATTAGTTGTAATTTGCCTTACTTTGCGACTAAAAATCAGACTGGAAAAGTTAGCTAAGCCTACTTATCAAAAGTCCCTTCAAAGTACATTGTTTAATAAAGATGGCGAGGTAATAAATCAGCTGTTCCTTAGGGCATATTATTTTCATCTAACAGTACACCAAACTCATAGGTACTTACAATACGGCGGCTGGGTTAAGAATCGGTGCCTATGTATCTTACAAATAGTAAGTTTGAACTGACAGTGAATCCTGTTTTTACAAAACAGTTATTAAACCCCATGAGCAAGTAGACATTCAAATGCTGAGTATACGGCATATTAGTTACACAATTATTTGTTTTTGTCGCCAGGTGCCTTATCGTTCTCCTGGTGTCCAGTCACTACACCTGATTTGCCTAACAGTTACAGACAATCCGCTTTTATTTGTTTGAAACTACATCGGAATATGACCATCAGCACCCGCAGGAAAGGGACAAAAGGGGGCATTTGCCCTCCCTTACATTTCACAAACAAACTGCACGTATTATGATGTAGACTTGACATCACGTATTATGATGTAAACTTAACATCAGGTATTATGATGTAAACTTAACACCACGTATTATGATGTAAACTTAACATCGTAGTTAAATAAATAGTTTTAGTAATTAAAACTGTAAATTTGTGTTTACTTTTAAGTACACATTATTTTAGTCTGTTGATTTGCACTGTAAAAGCTGATCCTATACATACATGTTCTGCTCCCTGGTGCCCATGAATATGACCGAAACAAGTTTGTTTTTTAATTTCGCGCAAAGCTACATGAAGGCTATCTGCGCTAGCCGTCCCTAATTTAGCAGTGAAAGATTAGAGGGAAGGCAGCTAGTCATCACCCTCACCGCCAATCCTTGAGCTACTCCCACGGGTGAAAGGGCGAGCATATTTGGTGGGACGGGGATTCGAACCCGTAACCCTCAGATTGCGAGTCAAGCGCCCTAGTCACCTGACTGTTTGTTTTTCTTCTGGTGTGGAATTACTGTACGGTTTTAAAGTTCTTCTTCTAATACGGTAATAGTGTTAAAAATATTTTCTGATCTTCATCTGTTTCCGCGCCTCGTCCCTCCCTCCCAGTGGTTCAGCGGTTAGTGTGGAGGCGTATAATACTAAAATCGGGGTTTCGATACCGTGGTGGTCAAACAAACAAACATGAACTTTCCGAATCTAAAAAATGTAAAATTATCTAGATGTTACAAGGAAATTGAAAAGTTTAGTGTTAGTAAAGAAGCCTTGAGACCCCAGATCGATTTTTAAAGAAAGAAACAGACAGTAACACGACGCTTATATGAATCTTAATAACATGGAGTTATGAACATCTGCTTTATAGATAGCTATGGATTGCTTTCGGCATGCTTCCCACTAATAAGAAAAACGGAATGGCTGCTTTCCATTGGCGGTTAGCCAACAAAGTTGGAAGAGGGGGTTTTGGAGTGCAGAAAAGCAAGACAACAAACCTTATACAAATAATAATAACTAGTCATACATACGCCTCTAACTTAATACAAACCAGTCTTAAGGCCAACTGTATGGAATGTCTTCAACTATTGTGTGTTTCTTACTTCTGTATCTAAAATGTAGCGAGCAATGCTGAGGTCATTACAATCTCGGACTACTGTATCTAAAATGTAGCGGGCAATGCTGAGGTCATTACAATCTCGGACTACTGTATCTAAAATGTAGCGGGCAATGCTGAGGTCATTACAATCTCGGACTACTGTATCTAAAATGTAGCGGGCAATGCTGAGGTCATTACAATCTCGGATCCACATGCTATGAGCAATTTCTGAACCAACTACTTTTGGTGTTTATATTGATTTTGTGCTCTAAGAGTTAATTTCACTTTATAAAAAGGATGTTCCAGGTTTTTGCTGCACTTGGGACTACCTTTTCATCGCCAGTCGTGCACAGTTTAATTAATGACTATGTTTAGAAGTTGTTGCCCAAATTTTCATTGGATCAAACTTCTGAAAACGAATGTGAGACCACTTATACTGATAAGTTATCCATAGATCCTCCTTCATTCTCAGACTGACTTCCAAGACCACGATCCAGCAGACCAAAGGTTCATTGGAATTGCACTGAGACACTTAACAAGCATATGATCAAATGGCATTGTCGAGATTCTAGTTTCATCGGCCATTTTTCTTGTGATTACAGTCACTGATTTTAAGGTTTCAAGTTCACACCTTTGATTGTTAATGGGATCAGAAGATAGCTTCATCACAGGGGGAAGAATTCTCTTTCATAACCACAATCTTCACTTTGCAAGTGAGAAGTCTTGCTTCTGGTTGGTTTTGGGTGTAGTTACAGAACCACTTGATGTCCTAAACGTTATGTTTTGCAAGTTTTTCTACGCGTCCATGGAGATCATTAAAAGAGAGTCCCTTTTTAGAAATGCTTGGTCCATTGCTTGTACATCGTTTACCAAAATGGCCGTACGATTATCCTTCCTCAGAAAGGACTGGGGACATTCATCTTCAGTCATGAGTCTAACTTTAACACATTGCACTGTTGAATTGTGATAAAATCGGAATAAACCAATTATTTGGGCACCATTTGCAAATCGTTCTTATTAACCCTCAGTATTGAAATCCGCCTATATAGCAAGGTTCTAATTACTTTAACAGAAGGGCAGCCTGCTCTAATGGAAAAAGAATGGCCATAAAAAATAATTATATCAACAAGAAGGAAATCTGTTTTACAGCGATAGCATGCATCTGCTAAATTTATGATTGATGTGAGGAGAAAACAACGCACAACTCAACAGCATTAATCATATAATGTGGCTTTCGATTCTCAAATAGCAATCTTTGAATGAATCACAGTTGTTAACTGTGGGACAGATACACTTTCGTGAAAATAACACGTTTTTCGGAATAGATTGTTGGCGTATCCTGACACTCACGTGCGCACAGACACACACACGTTACATGGTAAGAGCCACGATTGTGTTTCGTTTGTTAAACAATTCCAACGAAATCTGCTCGACTCCATTAATAAGTCAGAACCCAATAGTCATGATTTTCGTTTTAAAACGATGCAAATCGTTTGTGACAAATTCACACCATCAGTTTATCTGTAAAAATTTGACGTTTTCGTGTGGTATTTTTTCACACACACATGTTACAAGAACACAGAATTTTCCCTCACCATGTTGTCAACTGTAATTATTTCTTTTCTTTCCACTTCATAAGTTCTTGTCAGTATAATACAAGAGTCACGTGACCACCTATGAACAAATGTAGAACCTGTGTAACCAAGGTCGTTCAGAATGGGGGTTAGGAAGGAGGTAACTTCTTGAGTTGTCACCATCTTTTCAGTAGTAGTTTAGTAATTGTCTTGTTGCATGTCACATTTTACACATTAAACTGGCTCTTCTTTCTCCAGGTGACTAAAAAGTACATTATGCAATACGTATCGTCCTGTTACGCTGTGACCACTAACCAAATACTTGAAGTATCGTATCACTTTGTATTTATACCACTGCAGGTAGTGTTAACTGTGATCTCTTTTCTTACTTATTTTGGAAAGCAATTATATTTAAATTTATATGAGGTTAACAGAAACAAGAAAATCCCTTAGTAATAACAATAAAAACTCTTCTGATGCATGTTAAATATTGATATTGAAACCGTATTTTTTTGGGGGGGGGTTCTATTCTGCCCGACAAGTTAATGTTGCTTCTTTTTTTTAAATAGTGTCCGTATGCGTGTTGTATTAATAACTTTGTTCTACCTGAAAAAGAAATGATTATATAGCGTCCTTTACACATTTATAACGCTAAAATTCGGGGTTCTATCTTGACGACAGACACTGCTCAGATATCCCATTCAGTAGCTCTGTTACGATGTTTATTTTCTGTTTGTCTTACTTAGTTAGCACAAGGAAACACAAGAACGCAACTACGTGAATTTATTAAACGTTTCGGAACATTAAAAATTCCGTTCTCAGTAATCTAGACAAAACAAGCATTTGCGCTACATACTTCTTATTTTATTTTGTTCTTTTCTTTTTTTTAAATCAAATTGTGTATTTCTTTATTTATTAAAGATTATATCACATTTCTGGTGTAATTAACATTATGTTTGTTTTGCACCTATATCTTACTGGAGCTGGAATTCTGAAGGTTCCGAAACTTTTAACAGGTTCGTGTTTTTCTTCATTATCAAATTAAGTTTTCTGAAAAACAAATGTTCTTTGTACTACTATAAGTTTTGATTTTATAAACCAAATAACTAAATAATAATTTATTAACATCCATTGTTTACTGTGTTTACTATTTTAAAGAAGTTCTAAGAAGGTTTATCCATGGTATGGTAGAGCCAGGAATTGAATTTACGATCTTCTGGTGAGGAGAACTAAAGAAAAAATATTATTTTCATAAAAATTATTATCAGCGACCGAAGTTCATGTTATTATTATTATTTTATTTTTTTTTTACTTTTTCAGAATTGAAGATGCTGTGGCATTGCGCTCATCTTCTGGTTAAGAGATGGCTTTCTTGATGGCAAGAGGTTCTTCCTCCCTGGAATGAAGGATAACGCGGAATCCAATTAATTTAGACAGTTGTTGGTAATGCTACTACTATTGTAGGGATTATAGCGTTCCTTTATTCTACTGCAGTGCCTCCTAGTGGCTGGTCCAACATGTTCCCGATTGCATTTCGGGCACGTGAACTCGTATACCACTAGTAAGGTGTTCAGTGGGTGAGTGTTTTGTCTTGAAAGCTGATGAGCCCTTTTAACCCAGTCTATATTTTAAAGACACATTTAAACTAAACTAGTGAATATATCTGTTTGATAATTTTCTTCGTTATCATTTATGAAACAGTGCCTAAATATAGGGTGTGTCTAAAGTAAGTTTTCTTCGGAACATTTAACATAACAACAGAT